AAAAGTTGCATATAGAGGGGAGTGAACTAAAATAGCAGATGGCAAACATCCGCCGGTGGTTTAGAGGAGAAAGTAGGCAATCGAATCAGCTGAGTTTCCTGGTCATAGCAGATGCAGCCTTTGGTACCGTTAACCCCCGAGACAGGCTCACACTCCTCACTTGTTCTCCCTGCCTTTCTCTCCTTCCTGACGCCATCCAGACGAGCGCTGACCTGCACAATGACTGCACGGAGACGCACACAGGCACCTCGGCCTCCGCACCTCTGGCTGCTGGCATCTTCGCTCTGGCCCTGGAAGCAAAGTAAGGCCCAGAAAGCTTCTAGTCACCTTTACAAAGGCTGATTCTCCTTCTTTTTAATAACATTTATTTTTTTTTCTGAATGTGCAGTTACAGAAGAAATTTTGGACTACTGCAAATAAAAGCTCTTTCTTTCCTGCCGCTTTGAGGTTACTAACCATAGCTGACATCTCAGTGTAGATTTCACACACACACATCTTACAACATTGGGATCTTAATATAGACATTATTTTGTATTCTGTTTTTAAAGTCCATTCTACAATATATTAAATGTACTTTCTCCTAAGTCAATGTTCTTTGACCTTTAAAACTCAGGCTATCCCTCAAATCTTCTTCCCACTCAGCTACAACGCTTTTTGTTTATTTCCATCCAGCAGGATTTTGTTTAAATAGCTTCCAGCGGGCAGTTTTAGGAACAAGCTTTAAAAAACTCCTTTCTTTGAATATATAAGCCTAGTCCTGGAGCTGATACAATCACATCAGGGGACATGAGATTTAAAGACAGAATTTTTATCTTTTCATGGTGTTCCATTTTATAAATGCAAATTTTGTTAAAGTCATCTAATCATGCTTAAACACCATTGTTGGTAAATATTAGTTGTCATCTCTGATAATTTCCTCAGGATAAATTAATTATCATCTCTGATAATTTCCTTAGAATTGGAATTTCTGGGTCAAAAGGCAAATATGTTTTAATGATTTTGATACATATTGACAAGTTGCTGCCTTGAATGACTAAACCATTTTATTCCCTCCAGGAATGTGTGTGTGAAACTGCCAGTTTCCAAAACCCTTGCCAAAACTACTTTTATTATCTTTTAAGATCTTTGCTATTTTGATAGGTGAAAACAGTATCTCTGCTTGTGTTTAATTATTAATGAAGCTCAATATTTCATACCCTTCAGCTCTTTGTCTTCTGTGGTTGCTTCTTTATGGCCTTAGTTTTGTTTTATGGCCTCGGTTCACAAAAGCTAGATGTTTTAAAGTTTGACATTTACCTTTTAATTTGTTTCTATGTAATTTTTAATGAAACGAAGTTAATATGTCTGTAGTTATGTTTCTCAGTCTGTTTCTTTAAGGCTTCTTCTTTTGCTTTTATGCTCAGGAAAATCCTCACAACCCCAAATTAGATAAACATTTATTTATATGTCTTTTATTATGGTTCCTTTACCATGTTTAAATTCTAAATCCCTCTGGAATTTATTTTAGTGCATAATTTTAGAAAAAGATTTAACATTTTTTTTCTTGTAATTACCCAATAGTTCAATACTTAACACAGAGGAAAAATGGAACTGTCTCACACTGCACATCACAGCTTTTTATGTGCCCTCATTCCTGCTTTCTGATATGTGGTGACAGCGAATCTTGAAATGTCAAGTCAGGTGCTATGGTTGCATATTAGAGGAAGTGATTAAACTTGTAAGTTACTATTATCCTTCCTAATAAGGAGATTATCCTAGAAGAAATTACTTATTCTCTAGAGAGAACAAACCAGTGTCCTCGTGTCATGTTCAGTAGACTCAGTTCATAATAACAGAAGGGAAGAACATTTTGGCCTTTTGCCACAACTGGAAAAGCCTTAAGGTTGCTGAGCCTTTGTCCAGGAAAGCCCAGTTTATTTCTAGCATCCCTGGGGCTTCCTATGGAGATGGGGTATATTCCTGGGTATCTTGATTACGAGATGGCCACAGGGGCTAAGCAAGACAGGTCTAGCAAGGCTCTTACCTACTTGGAGGACCTGGAGTTGTTGGTAAGGGAAGAAGCAAATCCAGTTGCTCAATTAGATACAGATATTGGGCCCTCCAGAAAAACTATGTTCAGAATCTGAGTTCACGTATAATAGGAAGTAGATGGTCAAAAGACAAAAATCTATGAATACAAGCTGAGACTGGCATCAGCAGATCCAAATAAACTTCAAGAAAAATTGTCCAAGCAGTGAAAATTGCAAGGAAAATCTGGCTTCAAGTTCTAGCTCTACCACAATCCATGTGGCCGTAGGCAAGTTAATTTACATGTGGGGCTCAGTCTTTCCATCTATAAAATAAAGGGGTCAAACCAGAGCTTTTTTTCAAACTTCTTCCCTTCCTAAGATTCTCAGAGTTGAGATTGAAAATGTCAGCATATATAGATAATCCAATGTGAATTGTTGGGGTCAGTGATGAAGAGTCTCAAATGGAAGAAAATAAGGTCCTATGGATTATAGGAGCCTGTGCAATAGACATTATATTTAAGATTTCAAAATACAGACTACTACCCCAGGGAACTGTTAAAAGAAAGCCATCTTAAAATTTTATGTCTAGAACCTTTCTTCTCTATCCAACACCTGTCAGATGCATGTAAACAGAACTGGCCATGCCTAGCCCATCCTTGTATAGTGGCCAACATGGTATAAATATCCATCTGCCGAACAAATGTAATGTCAATTTCATGTTAGAACTGAAATTGTAAAAGTGTAATCCTTGGTTTCTAAAACCTCAAGCCTTCTTTTTCTGTATAGTAGAAAATGATCCTATAAAGAAAATAATCCTTCCGTTTCCTTTTTCTTTTGGAGACAGTCTCACTCCGTCACCCAGGTTGGAGTGCAGTGGCATGATCTTGGCTCACTGCAACCTCCACCTCCCAGGTTCAAGCAATTCTCGTGCCTCAGCTTCCCAAGTAGCTGGGATTACAGGCATGTGCCACCACGTCTGGTTAATTTTATCCTTCCTTTTTCCATATAGGAGAAAATGATATAGGAATGATCTAGCCTCATTCATCTCAGTCTCTGATGGACCATCTTTAAAGCAGAGGTTTCATTTCTATGAAACACTCAAATGGGTTTCAAGGGGTCCATGAATCTCTTTGCAACTAAATTCAGAATTGCTTATAAGTGTGTGTATGGCATATTTCTGGGGAATGGCTTATAGGTTTCACCAGATTCTCAGTGTTCATGATTTAAGAGATATTAAGAGTCTGTGATCTCCCAGGTGCATATCATAAGAATTTAATTTCCCTCATTTTGATTCAATTCATCAGTAAGATAGATATGACTGATCTATCTTAACATTTATATCCTTACTGCCAAGATACATAGAGATTATTAAGATGTCTGCTCTCAATTGGACATTATTCTGAACTCTATTCAATTGTCTATACCAAAGCTGAATGCCAGAATTTCTAGAAATGTGACCAAGCTTTATGCCAAGGCACTCAAGAATGAGAAAATTATTTAATCATGTACCATCCCACAGGAACAACTATGGAGACTGAAGAACCCTTGCCTAAACTTTTCAAAAATAATGACATCCAATATTGATTAGGTTCTTACTATGGACCAGACACAGCTGACCTCTTTATATACAATATTAATGATAATCTTTACAACATTCTTACGACATGGAAATTATTAATTTCACTTATAAATGGAAAAAATTAAGATTTAGAGAGGTTGAGATATGTAACCAAGACACCACAAAGAGATTCAAACTCAAGTCTGTCTGAGTGCAAAGCCTGTGTTATCAGCAACCACACCTTGCAGCCTCCCCCAGCCCTGTGAGGGAGAGGCAGTGTTGAATGGCAGCCTATCATCCCCTTAAATAAAGGAGGGTTAAGAAGATTGAGGCTGATAAATGAACATGCATTTATGAGTTTCTCTTAAGTTTTCTGTCACAAGCAGACTACTCAATATGCTGTGTTAAATGTTATATAGCCAGAGTGTTGGGGAATGGGAGGAGTAAAGGGAAGGAGAAGGAATGGTTTCTGGTTGAAATATGTGCAGAGAAATACTTTCTTTCACTAAAGGAAGGTTTCTCAAGCACCAGCATACATAATCATCACCTGGGGAATTTATTTAACATGCCGGTTCCCAGGTCCTTTTGCCAACAACTAATTCAGACCTTGTACCTGCCTAGAAGTTTCTGATGCGCAATCTAGGAATTCCTTCTTTTTTTTTTTTTTAACAAATCTCCCAGGCACCTTTTAATGCTAGTACTACCTTAACCAAGTTTTGAGAAGCAAATGCTATGGAGAGTTACTTTTACCACTGTGTTTTCCTACAACCTCATCGGCTGTGTTTGTGTAGAAACCCACTAGAACAGTTAGTAGGTACATCTTGGAAATAAATATAAGAGAGAAAGGAATTCCTTGCATAAATGTCTGTGGCACTATTATTATTATTATATAGTGAATATACCTAAGAAATCTGGTAGAAAATAGCCTCAGCCTTCTGAGGAGAGATCAAAAGAATCAGAATGCTTTTTAATAGGTGAGGAAAATACTGAAGTGAACCATTGAATCCTTTTACACCAGAAATGTTAAACGAACAGATGAGCCAAACTTCTGGTTTTGCTAAAGCCTGGAGAAAGAGAAATGGACTTTCAGGGCTGCATGAAACCTTTGGAAAAAAATCACAACAAAAAAGTTCTTGACTTTGTGGGTTGTGAAATGTTAGAAAGTCCAAGTTAGAAAATCTTTCAGATCTGGGCTAATTTAGGTATGATTAGAGGCTGAACCAGATAGTTCTGAAGACTTTTGACGCTGGAATTTGTCTCCAAATTACATTACCTACATCTCTGCTAATTAGAAGCAGTGCTTAATTCAGTGTTTAATTGCATACCCTTATTTTCTGTAAACATATCTTTGATTAGCAACTCAAGGCAGTTTTTAAAAATTTAATTACTGTGGATGTTGTTGAGCACAAATTAACAAAGGAAGGCTGTCAGGAATGAGTTGCACTGTTGTCAGCAGCTCCTTTTTATTTATAAAACACAAGCACACAAATGAAGAATAACTCTGTTAGAAAAATAGGCTTTTCTAATTGCATGACAATGAATCTCCTTGAATATTTTGCAAAGACTAGATAAAGGAAACTTTTAAAACAATAAAACCTGCAAACATACAAAATAACTGCTCTACTACAGAAATATAGGACACGTGTGCTATATGTGAAAATCATGATTATCAGCATCTTGCCTTAAGCCTCCTCAGTACGCTTCCTCATTCCTGCCTCCATACATGCACCTGCACACTGATGATCCAAATGGAAAACTGATGTGTTGCCCATTGACTGCCTTGATACGAGGCTTTTACTTAATACTCCTTTGAAAAGACTGGAAGGAAGCAAGCACTTCAATAAAATGCTCTTTTCTATTTACACGTGTACCAGGTGATTATGAGGCAAGCATTCTGGGACTCACTGAGGATCCCTAAACCGGTGTCCTTCCAAGGCCTCTGTCAATCCCTCTCCAGGGTGAAGTGGTATGTTTGTCAGGAGCTCCGCTCAGGCGAGCTGAGCTGTCAGGTGTGGAGTAACCCATTAATGCAACAAGCCAAAAATGAAAGCACTGAACCTTTAATCACTGCTATGATATCAGCAAGAGTCTGAACGGGAGAAAACACTGACTCGCCCTGCTCCTTTTCCCCGTGGCTTGGCACACTGGTTGAGTGGCTCAGCACAGACATGAGGGTCATCGCACTGTTGAGGGAGACCTGAACAAAAGGCTTTGGCAATTTTATGGACTCTCGGGTGTGAGGCGGAGAGGAACCAAGACAGCGCAGGAGTGGAGAGGCACCAGGCAGAGTTGGAATGAAAAAAGTGCCTGGATGTTTCCCCTCCTCTCCACCAGGAGGCCTAGGCAGAGGCGCCTGGCCGAGGGACCTAGGGAGGAAAGCTCTCACCAGCTAGGAATGTCAATATGGATCGAACATGAGGGGGCCGGGGCCTGCGGCTTTCATGGGAACGGCTGCGAGGCACCAGGTGTGCGCTCTGCGTGGGAAGGCAGCTTCCCGGTGTGGTGCGCCGGGTAAAACCTTTCAAGTAGCCTATGGTCAGGCCCGAAAAATCACACACCATTTTTAACCGGGAGCCGGACTCTTCAATGTTTAGGAGTGTCCACTGCATTTCTTGTCACCAGGGGATTACTGAACCAGCTCTGGGGAGAAGGCAGCAAAGTGAGCCAGACTTGTCTGATGATTGCTCTCCAACCGAGTGCTGAGACGGGAACTTTGAAGAGTAAAAACTGGGGCATCTACTTATTACATAATGCTTGATTGGCTTCAGAGAACAAAACAGGTCTCAAAGTCAAGGAGAAGTTTGAGAATCTGACTGATGACTAGGAGCAATACGTTTTAAAGTTCTATTTGGGGCTAGTTACCACTTAGGCATGTTTAGTCTCTGAACCAACCATATCCGCTGATCTCATACCCTGTGCTCAGCATTCTTCTGGGTGCTACACATCAGAGAACAAGTTAGATCAAGATGTCACCACCTCTCACAGTTAAATTCGAACCAAAGAGACAGACATTAATAATACACAATGCAAATAAGTGTCCCAGCATGTTAGAAGCCTGTACGTGTTATGGAAGGAGAACATGCACATATAGCAGAATGAGAGAGCTCGGGATGATGTGGGAGAGTGGAAATTTTAAATAGGTTGATCAAGGAAGGCCTCATCATATTATAATAGAACCAACAATCCCTTGTATCTCTGATTTGTCTTTATAGTGTTGCTAAATTAATCTTACTGAGACTTATGATTTTACTATTTCCTTGCTCAAAAATCCTCACTGATTCCCACTGCCTAAAGAATAATGTATAAGCTCCCTTTCTGGCACATCGCTCTGGCTCAGTGTTTCTCACTGCCTCTCCCCTGCGCCAGCAAACCAGGCTGCCATCTGGCCACATCTGCACTGTCCCACCTTGGTGCTTTTGCTCCAGTGGCCTCATGCCTTCTCTATCTCCACTTCTTAATATTCTACCCCCTGTCAAAGTCCAGCTTCAATATTTCTTCCCCACAAAGCTTTCCTAGATATTTCTGTTCCATGGAAATTCTTTTTCCTCTAAACTTCACAATGCATTAAGCTATGAATATAGCATTCAGCAGATAAAATTATGAAAAGCCTTAATTCTATTTACTGGATTGGAAACTTCTTGAAGACAAGAACCATATCCTTGAATATCCTTACAGTATTAGTATAGTGCCTTGCAAGGGTGAACTCAAATAGCTAAGAGTTTCTTGACCCTTCTGATAGATAAAGAAAAAGGCAATACATGTTTCCAGTAGGTAACCAGTCTGTGTCTTTAACATCTCACTCTTCCTAAGAAGGAATTCAGGGCTTCATCTGTGGGTTCAAAATGCTGAAAGTGCTGAGGCTTTTGATGGACACCATGAGACTAGAGGGCATAAAGAAAGTGTTACCATTTAAAATGTTTGCTCAGTTAAATGTAAGTAATTAGAAATTAAGGACAAAGTATTATACTTCTATAATGCTGAGGACTGAATTTTACTCATAGCAAAAGCTTATTTGCTATGGGGAGAAGTCATAACTTACATGCTGCAGGGAGAAGTTTTCAGCACTGTGTTCTGAATTCCAAATGAAGGATATGTGAACAGTAATAGACACTAGAATAATATAAGTAGAATAGCAAAAGGTACTTCATAATCCCTGAATGGAGATGCTTATTGTTAGCACTCACTTTTGCAAGACTTCATTTTCTTCTCTGAAAGACACTTTGGGTCACTTCCCCTCCAGCCCAAATCTCACCTGGCGAGATATGCAGCACCTGGTTGTCTGGACCTCTGAGTATGACCCACTGGCCAATAACCCTGGATGGAAAAAGAATGGAGCAGGCTTGATGGTGAATAGTCGATTTGGATTTGGCTTGCTAAATGCCAAAGCTCTGGTGGATTTAGCTGATCCCAGGACCTGGAGGAGTGTGCCTGAGAAGAAAGAGTGTGTTGTAAAGGACAATGACTTTCAGCCCAGGTAAGTATCTCCTGGAATTTTAAACACATATGTGCCCATGACACAATTTCATTACTGTGTTTGCCACTCTGCCCGATTTTTTTTGCACCTACCCTTCTGAAGTAGATGGAGTTGGAGTTTTCCAGTGTTCTCTGTGGGTCTCCATGGGGATTCACTGAGAGATTAGAGTTCTAGAAATCATGTTAACACATTTGCATGTTCCTCTTGTAGTCCACCTACCACATAGCACCCAGTCCAAGGTGCACCATTGTTTTACTGTCAGTTAAACTGTGATCAACCAATCATCAGTTTTAAGATTCATTCCAAATCCAGTGTTTAACTATTTTATAAAATGCATCTTAGGGTTGATGAAATGTAGTACTTGCCAACCACTTTTACTCAAAATCTACTTCCAAAATAGCCTTGCTTCATGCCACAGTGCTGTGTGATTCATGGCTTTTCTTCCATGAAGGATTCCTTATCATACACTTTCACACAGACTCTCTCTGGCAAATCACTTCTTGCCACAGAAGTAATTTCTGCTGTGAGAGTTTTCTCGTTTCTATCAAGGCAACCAAAATAATACTGAAGACCCACTCACCCAAAATATCCCAGGAAGAGAAGCTTGGGGCATGCCTTCAGAACGCCTTCTAGATAAAATCATTTTTTTCTTAAGGGGGTCTTTTTGATGGGTCCACAATAAATCTACCTGAATTTGACTCCACAGCAAATAGCATTGTATTTAAGTATTAGTGCCCCTTACCATTTTCTTATGCATTAAAATTTATATATACCTAATCCTGAAATCTACACATCGCAAGGAGAGACAAAAAGCTTAGTTGAGTATCTAGTCAAGACTGATGTGTGCAGATACGCATAAAATGCAAGGAAGCTGGGATATACTTTATTCAATGCTGATTCTTTAATGTATTTAGAGCTCTGAAAGCTAATGGAGAAGTTATCATTGAAATTCCAACAAGAGCTTGTGAAGGACAAGAAAATGCTATCAATTCCCTGGAGCATGTGCAATTTGAAGCAACAATTGAATACTCCCGAAGAGGAGACCTTCATGTCACACTTACTTCTGCTGCTGGTAAATTAAAAACAAAATCTTCCAAACCATTTAAATTTTTAAGTGTAAGTTGAATGACAAATAACTAATTGCTTTTGTTTATTCATAGAACAAAGTCTCCTAATAGATATTTTATGCCTTTAAAAAACATATTTATTTTTCCTTTTTCTTGAAGTTAGAGCTCCCTCTGCCCTGCCCATTCCCACTGATCCTTTGATAAGCAGAGAATGAGGCCCATTGAAATAATGCCAATTAATACAGTTTTCTGAAGTCATGCATTTTCATACTGTGTTTACTTTTCCAGTTTACTGATCTATCACTTTTCTCTTAGATAACAAACTAGTGATAGTTACCCTGATAACCAAACTCACAGATATAACTGAAACATACAAGGAGTGCACTGAAAACTGGGAATTCAGATCCATTAGAGAAGATTGAGAAGATTAACAAATTTACCATAACAAATTTACCGTAACATGAATAAGGCCATTTTATATGATATATAAACATGCCTTTTCCTGAAAGGCGCTAATTCAGATAAGATAGTGGATGGGAATGGGCTCATGAACCAGAAGCCATAATCTAACCAGGAGGAGCAGCCCCAATACTCCTTTATATCTTAGTAGGACTCAACTGACTAAATTTGGTTTCTGTGGGTGATAACGTGCGGAACATAAGCTATCTCTATGATCTTCCTCCTGAATATTAACTCCTAGAGGTTTGGAATAGGCTCTGTTAATTTTGAAGTTATGCTTTCTAGAGGTATTAGAATTAACCTGAAATATTGGTAGAATGCTTTCTTAATTGATAGACCAACAATTATTTAACGCTTCCACATAGAACTATTATTCATTGATCTAGAGAGGGCTTGGAGTTGAAAATTTAGTGGTAATCTTGTCTTGTCTTTTAATATAAGAGATTGTTAAATTAACATATCTTTAAGAAATTAATACATTAAATAATTATGATTATTAATGACTATATAATAAACTAATTAAATGATAAATTTTATCTCTAAATCATTATGGAGTCAGGCACCTACTAAATTTTTAAGATTTCCTCTTACACTTCAGAAATGATAGTTTCATTAAAATATATTTTAGATTTTTGACTCTCTTCTTTAATTCAATTTGTAAATGTAGTTCTCTGAGTTCTCCTTATTTGAATAAACCTTAGTCAACATATTCATTCATTCATTATTTTTTCCATAATATTTATTGAGGCAAATAATATTCATTGCTATGCCAGGCAATGCGCTAAGTACTATAGATAAAACTAAAAACTAAGTACTATTGATCATAGTTTCCTTGTGAATGTCTTGATCCTTATACTGAAAGAGAATTAGGAGATCTCGTCTTTTTCAGCTTTTATTTTCGGTTATCAGATGCTAGAGTATATCCTCGTGTCAGAGCTATTAGGACATTCATTAACTTGTATTTGTTGCATAGGAACTAGCACTGTGCTATTGGCTGAAAGAGAACGGGATACATCTCCTAATGGCTTTAAGAACTGGGACTTCATGTCTGTTCACACATGGGGAGAGAACCCTATAGGTACTTGGACTTTGCAAATTACAGACATGGTAAGTATGAATGAAAGGACGAAAGAACAGAAACTTACTTTTAAACACTTTGAAGCACTTTTACGTTGATTTCTTCATTAATTAGGGCCCTAAAGACTTGTACCACTTCTTAGTAGACGTAAGTGAAAAGTCTAGTGTTTCAAGCCCCGACTGCTTGGTTATGTAGATCATATTCAAAAAGGAAGACTAGGCACCAGCCATACTATAAGAGGGGAAAAAAGTACTTGTATAAACAATGTGGCAGACTGTGGGACAAAGTCAGGTGTTCCCATGTCTGCATGCAGCCAGCCGTCTGACCTATTTAGCCACCAAAATCAACCGTATTCACAAAGATACTTAAATGCTCAGACCAGCTTGGGTATGACATTCTGCCACAGTCACATCTTAAAGGCATGCTTACAATTATTTTGCAGTGGCTATTTAGAAGTGGCTTAATGTTTGGCAATATATCTTATTTAATATGACTTTTTAAAACAATTTTAGAAATGAAACAAACCAAAAAGCATTTCTCATTTCTTTTTCATTCTATTGACTAACATTCTCTGACATCTTTCTGTAAGTTTAACACAGAGTCACAAAATTGAAAGGACAGAGTAAAAGTTAGAGAAAAGCCAAATATAGCTGAATTATTTATTTTTGCATCATTTCTCCAACATTCTCTGTAGGTGAGAATATAAATGAATGATGTTCTGGTTCTGTGTCCTTCTGAGATACAAGTGTAGCAAATATAAGCAGTGTAGAATTACATGCCTATTACATGCCTAGACACCTTTTTTTTTTTTAGACGAAGTTTTGCTCTTGTTACCAAGGCTGGAGTGCAGTGGCACAATCTCGGCTTACTCTAACCTCTGCCTCCTGGGTTCAAGCGATTCTCCTGCCTCAGCCTCCTGAGTAGCTGGGATTACAGGCACCCATCACCACGCCCAGATAATTTTTGTATTTTTAGTAGAGACGGGTTTTCACCATGTTGGCCAGACTGGTCTCGAGCTCCTGACCTCAGGTGATCTGCCTGCCTCCACCTCCCAAAGTGCTGGGATTATAGGTGTGAGCCACCCCATCTGGCCTAGATAACTTTTTGAAAAGAAATTATTTAAAGTTCCTGGAATGTAAATTAAATTAATCCAAATTTTATAGTCATTTGTCATGTTTTCTTCTTGGAGGATAGCTTTCTCCTAAAGACTGCTAAAATCGTGATTTAAAAATGGAAGTTGTAAAATGTCCTGCTCTCATAGAGCAAAAAAATTTTCTTGATAAATGGGCCTGTTCTTGAACTTGGCCTCCATTCTCTAACTCAATTTCACCATCAGAAAACTAAGAAAATCTATATACCAAGATGGGATAATTTCATGTCAAGTCTGGAAAATCTGATCTTACACCTCTAGATTTTTAGTCTGGAAAATCTGATCTTACACTTCTAGATTTTTAAAGATATTTTAGATTTTAACATATTTATAATTGTTGAACCTCTGAAAATTATCACAGTTCCCATAAATATACAATGTTTTTGTAACTGAACTTTATAGACCTTATTTATTTATTTATTATAATTGAACTTTGTAGACCTATTTATTTATTTATTTTTTATTATACTTTAAGTTCTGGGATACATGTGCAGAACGTGCAGGTTTGTTACATAGGTATACATGTGCCATGGTGGTTTGCTGCACCCATCAACCCTCATCTACATTAGATATTTCTCCTAATGCTATCCCTCCCATTAGCCCCCACTCTCCAACAGGCCCCGGTGTATGATGTTCCCTCCCTGTGTCCATGTGTTCTCATTGTTCAACTCCTGCCTGTGAGTGAATACATGCGGTGTTTGGTTTTCTGCTCCCGTGTTAGTTTGCTGAGAATGATGGTTTCTAGCTTCATCCATGTCCCTGCAAAGAACATGAACTCATTTTTTATGGCTGCATAGTATTCCATGGTGTATATGTGTGACACAATTTTTAAGGGCTTACTAATGCTAGAGGCTGTTTGTAATACTGTATCGAGGCTGACTTTTTCCCCAGTGGAATGTTTCTATGAGTTGATAATTGGGAAATATAATTATATTTATAGAAGATACAGTCAGCTTTTCAAGAATACATCCAATACAGAAAAGAAGATTTGCATAGAGAGTTCTGATTTTTAAATTAAATGCCTGATTATGAAGCAACAGGTTTTTCAATTGTTGAACCTACAAACTGTCAATTTTTATAGCAAGAGTGAATCCAATTATTTCTTTCACATGAAAT